TGGCTATAAATGAAGAAAATCATCAGTTTGGTTATTGTTTTGGTTTTTAAGGTTAGGATCGAGATCCCTAACAGTAGGAATTGGGATCCGACACAATGGCGATTGAGATTCGAAAATTTAAAAATTGAGATCTTTGAGAGATCTAATTTGGGTTGCGATAGAATCCAGATTCTAGAAGGGATCGCCTACCAAAGTAGGCAATCCCGGTAATTATTGCTGGGAGGTAGGCGATCCCAGTAACTATAGCTGGGATTAGGTGTGGGATAGGAAGTTAATTTTTTAGATTCATGATTGAATTTGGTTCCTTTAAGTTAGTCTTCTAATTTTGTTGGATTCCCTTTTTATGGTAGAGTGTTGGAAGTACATGGATGTTTATGTGGTAACAATATCATTGTAGGGGCATCATCGTCCAATAAATGGGTTAGACTGGGTGATGGAGGGAAACCGTGGATCGTCGCTCATCAATTTTATTTATCACTGGTCTTCTTTGTCAAGAATCCAGAAGTTCTAGAAATTAGAGTTGGAGACACCAACCATTGTACATGTACACCACTGCATTTCAGATTTCCATTCGACATAGATTAGCTATAGCTCTAGATGCCATGGATCTTACACTCCCATGACTTGAGATTCAAGCTACCTTCTGATAAGATTAACTGTGAACTTCGACTCTGATATTACTGAAGCCTGAGACTAAGATGTCTAAATGAATGAGAGCATTTTTGTTGCTAAGCTAGCGAGGGGTTGCGTGGGCACCCCACCCATTTTATGAACGTGGGAAATGAGCACAAGGTATTGTTACAAAGAAAAGGGAAAAAACAAGAGCTTGAAAGGGGCCCCTTTGTACAAAGGTCCTCCCTATATAAACTCTAAATATTACACACTTCTTGGGAGCGCAATTTACCATCACCTATAAATGGTTCTCTTTTTCATCCTTGACTGGGACAAACATACTTTCCGGAATGCTATTCTTGATTTTCCAAATCAGCTCCCTTAGAATCCTTTGGAATAATTCTTTTGCTCTCCGATTTCTTTCTTGCCAAATTACCCTTGTGGTGGGAAGTGAGATTTTCCAATTCTTGGCAAGGTATTTGGTTGTGAAATTTCGTTTAGAACCAATTTGTTAGGAAGTTGAATTGGCTATAATGCCCGTATCTAACCTCCACAAGATTGCTTTATCTATGTCACTTACAAGTTTGCATGAAATAGAAATGTGGTTATGACTGTCATTATCATCTTTACATCAAGTGGCAAATACTACTCAATCAGGTCCCAATCTTTGCATTGTCGGTTGTAACTAGCCTCTTTTGGTAGGCTAATTGTGAAAACCACGAGGCTCTAATGAATCAGTTTTTTTTCATATTGCCATTGGGGTATTGTTCTTCACCACTTTATATCTTATTGTTTCATGAGCACTTTGGGATGTGAAGTCTCCATTATTATCTGGAATCCAAATGGGGCTTTTATCGCGTAAGTCCAAATGGGGCTTTCATCGCGTAAGTCCAAATGGGGCTTTCATCGTGTAAGTTCGATGACTATATCTCATGATAAGTTGGAGGGTTTCATGTATGCCTTTCCAAGCCCAACAGTCTTTTCTAGTGACTTTAGGGACCTTATATGATGTCTCCAAAGGTACTTGTTACTTAAAAAATCGGACCATATGGAGTGTGTTTCACTTGTCAATTCCCATCCAAGTTTAGCTAGTTGCGGCATGTTAATATCTTCAGTACTTTTCATACCAAGTCCACCTTCGCTCTTAGGTTTACAAATAGTGCTTCAGTTTACTCAGTTTGGGTATCTTTGTTTTTTTTATTTTTTGTTTCCACAAAGGAGGTTCCTTTGTAGCTTCTCTAGGATGTTTATGGTGGTCGAGGGTAGTTTGAAAGCAGAGCACCAATGATTTGTGATTGTAGTGAGACATGAGTTGATGAGGGTAAGTCTTCCAGGATGGGATAGGGGTTTGTTTGTTCCATCTTGATTAGGGCCTGGCAAAGGTCATGGTTTTCTTGATTAGGGGCTGGCAAAAGTCAAGGGCAAAGTTTTCCTTTGAATAATTGCAAACGTAGATATGTGGATGGAAGTTCCGATAGGTTGAGGTTTAGGAATTGGTTAATTTGGGCTTTGTCAAAATTGGAGGAGATAAAGAAGAATATGATTGTTTTAGTGGAATTTGTTTGTAGGCCAGTGAGGGACAGGACTTGCATCACAATATTTTACTGGCCTTCCGTCTCAGTATTTTGGGTAATCAATAATACTACTTCTTGGTTTTAAGCTTGTTAGTAATATATTAAAACCTGTCTGATGATTGATAGTTTTATCAGGAGTCAACTATTTTATCAAAAAATAATATATTCTGGACAATATTACATTGTAGCTGTTTGGTAGGTATCGTATATTCTTTACACTATTATCTGTTTGTTGTTTGGCAGTATGACCATAAACTTCGTCTAATCTTTAAAGTTCCTGGCTCCTCCATTCGAAATCATGCTCTCTTTCTAGATCTTCTCTCTCACTCAAAAACCACTGATCTTCACCTTTTCTCTAAATAAAAAGTAACTCATTTTACCTTCTCCAAAAGCTTCTCTTCTTCTCCTCTATTTCTCTCTCTTCAACTTCTTTACTTGAACATATATTCCCCAGTTCTAATCCTGCAATGCAGATTTAGGGGAGCTAAGTCCCTATTATGAGATGGATTTCTAGTTATCAATCCACTAAAGTGTATTGTTCTGGGTTTCCTGCTCTTTTTGTGTGATGGCATTGAGGCAATCAAGAAAAGAGATGGTGCTCCACCTGAAACTGCAACCCTCCATGAAGCCAGTCCATCCATGGAGAGCATGAGATATCGAGATTGCCTTTTATTTGAGATTTGTGAAAGTCATTCCCTCAAGGCCTGGCATCGTAAATGCTCGGAGAGAAAGGTTTGAAGTTTAAACAGTATACCACATGTCGAATCCCCAAAGCTACAAGTTACGATGAGTATTCTCTCACTCTAATTTGGCAAGCAAGAGACTGGATAATACCAAAGCCAAAAGATCAGAACCCAAATAATCTCTTGGCTTCTTTGGCCAACTTCTTATCTGAGATTAAGAACAAAATCAATTGAACAAAGAGGTCAATCCTAATGCAAAATGTGCAAAAACCAGTTCAAATGGCCATAGTTGAGCAAATAGTAATGGCTTGAATCACCCACTTCGAGTCCAGATCATACGCATTAAGCATCCAAACCCAATGTGTCTCAATTTGTCATACACCAAAACCCCATAAAAGCTAATAGCAAGGATAATAATGCCTGTTAATATTTCAAATGCCCAACTAGATTATGGCAAGAAATTTCTAAGCAGAGCCAGGATTTAAGCAACAAAGGCATCAATAACATCTTGTCCTGCAAGTTATAGAAGGGGGTCACGATAAACATCTTAAATTTGCACTCCTCTTTCTCGCTGGTTATGAACTTCCTAACCCTGGCTCTAAAAATTTCCATTTCTTCCACTTCTTCAAAGATGAAGCAGGTGAGAAGCACACTCTGGTTCAAGGGTTTCCTCCCAATGCTGAGTGAAACTGAAATCTGAGAGATGATCTTGAATGAGTGGTAGTTAGGAGAGAGGATTGAGTTAGAAGATCCTAGTGAGAGAGTGTGTGAAAGAGAGAGGAGAGACAGCGAGAGGGGGTTCTAGAGAGAGATAAAGGTGAAAGACGAAAGATCAAGTTAGTGAAGTCAAAAGCCGCCCCAAACCCTGATCCAAAGCTCCGACAAGGATAATATAAAAACTACTTTCTTAAAAAGATTATGTTATACAGAAAAGAGACAATAAACTTATCACAAATAATTATGTAAGGGACATAACTGAACAACAAATAAATGTCTATTAAGAGTAATTTTATTCGAACAAAGTTTCAAAAGACGCTAGGTGGCCGGCCTGGTGCCCAGCGCCTAGGAGGGTGCCCAGAACCTTGGGCACCCTGTAGTGAAAGTTCTGCAGATATATGCATATATGTGACTTTCCAAATGCACATATTTATGTTAATTTTGCAAAATTTTTACAATTATATGTATTGTAACTAATCTTTTTTTATACAAACATATTGCACGTTAAGAATAAACATGTTTAAAACTTCACACCTTAGAAAATTTAATGAAAAAACTTAATAAAGTTTAAAGTGTATTACAATCTTAGTCTCCAACTCTCCATATTCCATAATCACATGAACTCTAAGTCTTCAACAAAGTTGCCAAAGTACAAGACCAATAGTCCAACAAGGCAAAAACTCCAAAATCTCAGATTTTCTTGCAATCGCAGAATTTTTTTATTTTTTATTTTTTTACTCAAAGAGATCTCAAAATCAATAGATTTGGGGCTTAGATTCCAATAGTTATTTGACTTTGGGGTTTTAGGATACCCCAAAGGCCTCTTAAGAAAAAACATGGGTAAAAAATGACGCAAAGTGCTTCGTAGGGGCACTTTATTCACAAAAGGGGGGCGTAGGACTGGGGTGCCCGCCTAGGACTGTGGCCTAGGCCGCCTGTGTGGGCGGCTAGGTACTGGCTCCCAAGGAGGGCTGTCCAGACCTAGGCGTGCGCCTTGGTGCCTCAGCGCCAGGCGAACCGTTTTTTGAACCACTACTTCGAATATTGAATTATTACTGGTAATGGGCACATTCAAAGTTCCAAACAGGCCTTTAGATTACTGTGACAGTTTCTTTTGGGGTGTGGGATAATTATTTGAAAAACTCATGGCAAGTTTGGTTTGAATTTCTTAAGAAATTTTCTGTCTCAATAGTTTTGGGTTCTTTATCACCCCAGTTTTCTAGGTTTCTATTTTTTATGCAATAACATAGGTAATCATGTTGCTGAATTGCAAGACGTTGTTTCTATTTTTAGTTGTACTGAAGAAACAATTTTTCGACTTTTAGCATTAGCTTTTGGAATATTGTCTTTAAAAGAAGATGAAATGTAATATATTGACTCTCTCTCTCTCTCTCTCTCTCTCTCTTGACAGAAGAAGCCTGAATTAACTGTGGTGATGCATCCTCCTCTAACCTTACACAAGCACCCAATGTGTGCTGAAGTATGCTTATCCCTTTCACTACTGTTCAGGAATTATTGTTTTCCTGTTTTGTTTCTTTATAGCATTTTAGTTACCTTTTTTTGGGAAACTTTTCTCGGAAAATCTTGAGATTCTAATTATTTTGCGTTTGCTGTTCTCTTCATGCCTTATTTATTTTTTGTTTTGCTGAAAATGCATGTTTCTGCTTGTTAGCACCTAAAATTTACAATGTTTTTGTCTTGATTATTCATTTTTTGTTTTTCCTTATAACTTTTATGCCTATAATTCTGAGAATACCCTCCCAGATTTTAACACTCGTTAATCTATATAATCTATACGACTCCTTGGTCGTGCTTGGTTTATTATGGTGTTGGCATTCTGTTTTATATTGAGGATGGTCATGCGTCAATTCAAACATCCTACTGACATTAAAACAACTGTTGCTATGCCATGGAAGAGCACACAATGCCTTAACCTGATATGATATTTGGCAATTGAAGGTTATGTTATAAGCCACAAGATTCTCCTCTTATTTTGCTTTGCCTAATAGGTACTTGTTCCCATTTGTGTGTGTCCTCCTTTTATTTTCCTTTGCCTAATAGGAACTGGTTCCCATTTGTGTGTGGTATTATGTATTTTGTAGAAGTGGTGTTTCAGTACATAATGCGATGCGGATGGGCCCATAGTGGAATGCATAGCATCCTTATCTAAGCATCACTGTTCTGTATGAATCCAATTAGTGAACTGGTAATGAATCTTGTCCCTTCTCTTGATTTCATAAATCACACTGGAAATGCAAACCTTATTGTGATCCAAGTCACTGTAACATGGATGTAAATTGGTTTCTTAAGTATCACAATTCGTAACCATTCTTGAAATGGTAAAGGGCATAGAGAAAAGCACATCAAGAAGAGGCTCATGATGGCTTTATGTCAACAAAGTATTATTAGACTAGATAAAAAATTGGGGCATGAATAGTTCTGATGGGTCAATTGGATCACAATCTTAGGCTTACTTATTTACCCATAATTGATCTAAACTTGCATAGTAATTATTAAATAAAGTGGAGTTCCAGGAATCCATGATATGTAACTATGATAAAAATCATGATTTATTTTCCATGATGGACAAAAGATAAACAACTTTGACAGATGCGCACATATACATGCACATGCTTGCACGCATGCACACTGACTCAATACAAAGGCTGCATTTTTGACCCGCTTCACTTGTCTTCACCCTTTTCTCTCTTCTTTCTCCCTCTCTTTAAAATCAAGGCAACAATTTTTTTTTTCATTTTTCTGTTATTTATCTAGCTGAATATATGCTCATGGGTATTACATTTACGCTTTTTCCTCCTTGTGTTATACAAGGCATTCTGCATTTCATTCTTTGCTTGTAAAGGAAGTTGGAATGGGTTGCTGATGAGAAATGGTAGAAGTTGGCACAAATTGTCAAAATCAATAAAAAATATTGGATTACCCTGCCTTTAAATTGGTTGATCCGTTGCTGCAACCCCCTTGGAGAGAGGAGGAGAAAGATTTATATACCTTAGGCCATAAGAAGAATCTGAAAAAGAATTGTTGATAGAGTCTTGGATCTCACCTGAGGTTGGCTACTTGCAACCATCAAAATTTGATGAAGAGTTTGATTTACAGGAAGACAATCCTAATTACCAGATAAAACTTTTTCACGCTTCTACAGTCATACATTCCTCCCCTTCTTCACATTTGCGTGAAAGTTCAAATTCTTTGTTCCAATTTCTTATAACTTGTCATTTCACTCATGTGTGCTTGAAAAAGAAGGCTTCATTGGTAAAAATGGTAAAATGGAATCCCCACAAGTTAAAAATGAAGAACTCCTATAAAATTTCAGCTTTGGATACTAAAGTTTGTATGCAGAATTAGGTAAAACATACATGTAAAAGCTTATGGTAGTTGTCCAGTTTTCCCTATTTTTTCCGAAAAAGATGAAGTTAAAGAGTGTTATTAATTAAAAATATCAATATGCCCATATTGGACAAATTGATATTTTGGTTTATCCTCATTTTACTTAGAATTAAAATGCTCAATATCTGATATTATTATTAGATATTAGGCATATATCTTGGAAAAAAGGCTTCCTTGTGCCAGTTTAATGGTAGTCTAGACAAAGATCGTGTATGTCCTAGACAACCAAATTTTTCGCCAAGTATAAATGATGAATTTTTTTGCAGTTTTTTTTTTTTGTTTAGATATTAAGGTATAAATTTACTACTGGGTTCTGTTTATGCTCCAATATCAGCCATATGTATCTTATTTAAATAACAATCTAGTTATGTGGTCAAAATTAGATTGTGGAATACATGTTCCAAAATCCCCAAACTATGTGTAGGAGCTGGGAAGTACTCTTAATACTGGTGGTTTTATAACTGGATTTGATGAGGGCATCATGGCCTTTTTTGAACCATTTACTACAATTTATTAAGGGTTTTAGTTTATTTTATTATCTTTTGGTTGTGTAGAGAATTGAGGGGCAATTTGTTCATTTTGTTTCTCTATTTTAATTGGGGTATTTTAAGCCATTTGTTTAAAAACAATTATATATATAAGGTGAGAGTGGTACGGCCAGCCCATAAAGGGATTATTTTGAGAACTTATTTTTTGAAGAAAGAAAACCCTATCAAGGGCTTCCTGAAAACTGGATGGAAGGTAACCATATGTAATGCTTGGTAGCACTTCCCACGGTCCCCCCTTCCAAGGTAACCTTCACTTCTCTTCTCTTCTCTCTGTTTTTAATTAATTATTTATCCCCTTTCTAGTATCCTTCAATTTGTTTTTCTTTCTCTTTCCCCCTCCTTCTTCATTCTTTCCTTCCTTTCCCTTACCTCTTCTTTTTTTTCTTCAGTCAACTTTTCTTTGCCTACTTCCTTTTTTTTTTCCCCCAATTTTGTATAAATAAAACAAAACCCTATTTTTCCATACCCAATAATTCCAAAGCTATTGAAATAGCTGTAGAAACTTTCTTGGTTTAATTTAAAATTATTCTGCGTCCTCTACTTCTCTCTGGGTTGTGGATTGGTTTTAAATTTTGATTAGGATCAAATATTTTGTTTTTTGAGGAAAATTTTTAATTAGCTGATTTTATGGGCGGCCTTGCCCAACAACCAGCAATCCAGATAGTTGCCTCTTTCCCTTTCAATCTCCGTTGGGTAAGCATCTCTCTTCCTATCCTCTTCCTCTTATTCCCTTTCTAATGATGCTCGAGGAGACCACCTAGTTGGAAGGTTCTTTGGTCAGTCGATGAAAGGAGGCACCCATTTTTGGTTTGTGTGGGCCTTTACTCCCTCGTTCGGTTCCGGTGAAGGGTTATGCAATAGATGAATTCAATCCAGCCTCAACCAGAAGCACAAACGAGATAGGAACATATGCCCAATACACCCCTTTCCTCTCACCTTTTGTCACCTTGACTATTCTAGTACCTTTTCGAACCTATACTAAACACCTACCTGTCATCTTCTTTTATCACTAGATTTCAATCCTTTAGGTATGCAAAATCTTATCAGCTAGACATTAAAATAAATTTCAAATTTGCATGTTGATTTTTTTTAGTTTGGTTACTCAACTTTGTGGATGACATTCTGCTGAATTTGTAGATGAATAATGTTAGTTTCATTTAATGTGTTCTCCAAACATGTTCTAGAGTATTGTAATTGAAGATTAACTAGTGGCTGATCTTAGGTTACATAAGAATCCAACACAAGATAGAATCAAATTTTTTAATAACTCATTTTTGGCCGGGATAATCTTTATTACCATTTCTCCATTGGTTTCAAATATGAAGCATTACATACCAGGGTTTTGTGTAAATCAAGCCTGTCACTCTCCTATATAGGTATACAGCTTTGAGTAATATTGAAAGTCATCAAAACTAAATAACTTTCTTTTGAATAATGGGACCATATCGGTGGCAATTTGTCTTGGATGCATTGCAAAGAATTTTGAATAGAGTTTTGATCCCAATTTGACTAACCCGTATTCTTTGATAGCTTCCTTTCCTACTCCTGTCTTTTTTTTTTCCCCCTAAAGCATACGTATAACTCATTCTACTGTGTCTTCATTGACTCAGCATTTTAGTCCATGTACAACTGCATTTTTGTAGCATAACTTCCAATTAATCTAATATTAATTATCTAAAAATTGGAGAACACCTCGAATTAATATCATTTCACCAATGCTTTTGTCTAGGGAGTAATACCATTTCTCCAATGCTTTCTTCTAGGGATGTCAGATATGAAGGATTACATATTAGGGTTCTATGTGAGTCCAGCCTGTCGCATTCTTATATATATATATATATATATATATATATATATATGAAATAGTTTATATAGAGCCGAGGCTCTAAATAATCAAATTAGAGTTCACCTCAAAAGTTTTATTAGAAGAGGCTGTTTTTATGCCCTCCTCAAATTGATCATCATGACATCAAGATGTATTGACCTGGGAAAAAATTGGATTTCAAGTTTTGAAAATAGTGCATCTTGTAACGCATTTTTCGATCATCAATTTTCAAGATTTTCAAATTTTCATAGATCTGCTCGATCTATACTAGTTTTGAAGCTTTAAATTTTATAATTAAAGATGAAAAAATATTTTAAAGCTATCACAAAGATTTTCAGTATTGAAATTACATTTCTTGACGCTATTTGAAGGTGCGCTTTGCTTTGATTATTTAGAGCCTCGGCTCTATATGAACCGCACTCATGTATATATATAATTTTGAATTATGTTTAACGTCATTAGAACTAAACAACCTTCTTTTTTGAAAACAAAACTAAACAATCTTCTTTTGGATAATGGGACCATATCAATGGCGATTTGTCTTGAATGCCTTGCAAGGAATTTTGAACAAAGTTTTGATCCCAATTTGACTAACCCACATTCTCTGGTAGCTTCCTTTTCTACTCTGTCAACTGCTGCCACCAATAGCTTGGTTTTCCTTAAAGCATACCTATAACTCGTTCTATCGTTTCTTGATTG